TTGAAATGGGTCTAGAAAACACAAATTCTTGAACAGTAGGAAATCTAATCATATAATTTTCTTTCTAGCCCATCTTTTTCATGACTGTTCTTGATTTTTTTCCCTTTGTGAAGTGCCATTATTTTTTTCCTCCTGTTAAAAGTTAGGCTGTCTCATTATCTGCATAGAGAAGTTCTACCTTTCTAAATTGCTGGATGCAAGTCCTTGACAAACTGAAAGCATCTCTTGGTTAACAGCCCGTGGACTTACTTAAGATGTGTCTTTTAAACATCCTATGAAGTCTAATCTGCCAGACTCTGTGTGTTCGAACAACTTTTTGTCTACCTTAATTCCATAAATATTTTCTTATGTATGTTCTCTTCTACTAGTTTTATGGTTTTAATTTTTACATCCAGTTCTCATGATTAATTTCAGGTTAATTTTTATGTAAGAATCTAGAGGTCAGAGTTCATTTCTGTCCCATAAAAATACCAGTTGTGTTAGCAATATTTGTTGGAAAGACTATCTTTGCTTTCTTTTCTTTTTCTTGGTTTGGGTTTTCAAGACAGGGTTTCTTTGACTGTCCTGGAACTATAAAAGAGTATCTTTTCATATTGGACTTAACGGGTTTGTTAAAAAACCAATTTGCCATGTATAGATCTATTTCTGAACTATTTAAAAGTAAGTGTGTGTGTGTGTGTGTGTGTGTGTGTGGCGGGTGGAGTTGATTTTCATGCCATTGCTGGTGTAGAGGTCAGAGGACAACTTTTCGGAGTCAGTTCTCTCCTTCCACCTTTACATGGGTTCTGGAACTCAAACTCAGGTCACCAGGCTTTCTCAGCAAGTGCCTTTATCCGCTAAGCCGTCCTGATGGGTCCTGGACCATTGTGCTGTCATGCTTATGACAATGACAATATATAGCCTTCTGAAACTGAAATAAAATTCACTTGTCATAATTTCATCCCTTTTAAGTATACAATTAGTTTTCCTAGTATACTCACACAATTATGCAACCTCCATCACCATCTAATCCATAACATTTTGATGGTGCCCAAAAGAACCCCATACCTGTTTGCAGTCACTTCTGTAACTCCTCCCTCTCAGTCCCTGAAAACTACTAATTTCTGTTTCAGTGGACATGACTGTTTTAGATAAATGGAATCATAGAACATATGGTTGTTAAATTTGGAACCTCTTAGCACAGTTATCTTCAGGTCTATTTCATCCTTTATATAGCCACATAATATTGTTTGGAGTGAATATATTTTTTATTTATCCATTAGTGGACATTTAGGTTGTCTCTATCTTCCGGCTGTTATGAACGTGCTCTAGAAATATTCATGTACAAGAATTTCTGTTTTGTTTTGTATTTAGAGACAAGGCCTCATGTGTCCCGGGCTGGCCTCAGATTTACCATATAGCCCAGATTGCCTTCTAATTCTCCCACTTCAGCCTCCTAAGTACTGGGATCAGGGCGCATGGCCAGGTGTGGCTTACACGCATGTGTAAGCTCCTGTGTTTCAGTCCTGGCCAGTGTGTCTTGGGGTGGAATTACTGGGTAGAGGAAACAGCTTTCTTCTGAGGATATGCTACAGTAATTTTCATATTACCTGATGGACATTCCCCACTTCTAGTTCCTTCTCTCTTTCAGGTTCTTTTGCTTATTCTAGTTCTTTTATTTCCATATGGATTTTTAGAAGCAACCTGTCCTATTTTTCATTTTTGTTATTTTTAAGTTGATGACTTGAGTTATTCAAACTAGCCCTGAACTTGTGTCACACTGCACTTGGCTCCCTTGTTTGTTTGTTTGTTTCGTTTTGGCAATTTTTATACCAAAAGACAACTTGCAGGAGTTGGTTCTCTCCTTCTATCAGGTAGGTCCTGGGGATCAAACTCAGGCCATCAGACTTGGCAGCAATCACCTTTACCCACTGAGCCAACTTGCTGGCCCCCTATTTGTCTGATATATTACATATTTCAAGTCTGATAAGATTTTGTTTGTGATTGTACAATTTGAAGTAATTTGATTTTTTACATCTTAATTTTAAAGTGAGTATTTTTTTTATAAATTCTCTGAGAGTTTTGTAAAATGTGTTTTGACTATATATATAGTTTTTCGAGGCAGGGTTTCTCTGTATTGTTTTGGAGGTTGTCCTGGAACTCACTCTGTAGACCAGGCTGACCTCAAACTCACAGAGATCCGCCTGCCTCTGCCTCCTGAGTGCTGGGATTAAAGACGTGCACCACCACCGCCCAGCTCCGTTAATTGAAGAAAGCTGCTGTTCATGCAGTCTTGGGCTCATAGGAAGGAAGGAAGGGACCCAGGATGGATTGCTACAAGCTTTTGCCTCATCTTCAGGGTTAGAATGAAGCAATTTCAAGATAGCTTGTGGAGACTAGCTGAAAGATTCTATCATGACTGTTTTCTAGACTTAGGGTCTTTATTTCCTGGCCGTGGCCTTTAGAGTTTTAGCTAAGCCCTTAAAATTGACTACAATTTAGCTTAGTTTCTAAGTAATGCTTTGATAGATACTTGGTCCAGAGCTATGATCTGAAGCCAGTGTGTTAGGTAGCTCTAGAAGAAAGAGAATTTCAAGACTGATGTGAAAACTTGGGGCATCAGGTCTGAGCCTCTCAGTAAGTCTGGCTGCTTCCAAAGGTTAGAACTGAAGTTTGGATGCTTTCAGCTAAGATCGGGAGAAAAAAACAGAATTTCTCTCCTAACCTGGTTTAGAAATATACTGTGGGAAAACTCTGGCCAGCCCTGGGCTGTGTCTCGATCAATCACATTAGTCAGGAACACAGGGAGTCACAGTTGGCTCACTCCAGACAATGTGTCTGTTTCCCTGGGCAATAGCACTTGTAATTGACAGCCCCGACCCACATGGTTACTTAAAGAAGGACAGTTTGCCAAAGAAAAGTGAAAATGGTTATCAATGACAAAGATCAGGTACTGTGCAGGCCAAAGCAGGTGATGGCCACCATTAAAAGGCTGCAGGGATCAATGAAGAAATATGAAAGGAGTATCGTGGAGAGGGTGAAGTGTGAGTAGATCATGAGCTGCATATGGTGGCCTCATTCGTTCTCATTCTGCTTTGTGTGTGAGAATGCTTCTTTAAATAGCAGTGTTTAGTCCTTAAACACTCATTGTAATAGTGGTATAGGTTTGTACTTATCACTTTATTATTTACTTTTTTCTTCCTCCTGTTTATTCATTTCTTTTTTCAGTTTTCCTTTGCATTATGCAAATGTTTTCTAGAATTCCATTTTAATGAATTATACCTCTCCTTTCATTTTTGTTTTGAGACAGGGTTCCACTATGTAGCCTAGGCTGGCCTGGAATCCCACCTCAGACTCAACTTGTCTCTGCCTCCTGAGTGCTTCGATTAAAGTGTGAGACACTTGCCAGGCCTCTTGTGATTTTTCTAGTGACTGCTTAAAGCATTGGATCTTAATGTGGTGGCAAGGTACAGTTGGTGATGTTTGGAAATACTTTTGGCTGAGAGCCAGAAGATAGTAGCATTTAGTGAGTAGATGTATCCCTTCCCTCACAGAGAATTATCTGTCAGATGTCTGTAATGATACTTTTCAGAGGAACTAATATTTCAGTTTGCTCATAGTTAGGAGTGTGCTTCCCACAATGCACAGAGACAATATGACTCCATCTGCAGCAACACTGCCTCTGTCCTTTACAGCACAGAAGGTTTCACTGAAACACAACTATGCCCATTCACAAATGTTTTGCTCATGGCTGCTTTTGCCCCATCAGTGGCAGAGTGGCCCTTGAATTCAAGCCATTCATTGCTCTTTGCCCCTCGCAGAACAAGTTTGCCTCTTCTGCTGTATAGTTGCTCGATTTATCAGTTTTTCTTGTCTATATTATAAAACCCACAAAAATGTTAACCATTTTTATTCAAGTAGTCACATAGGCTTTTACAAAATTAAGAAAAAATAAATGCTTTCACTAGGTGGTGGTGGCATATGCCTTTAATCTCAACACTTGGGAGGCAGAAGCAAGTGGATCTCTGAGTTCGAGTCTAACCTGGTCTAACAGAATGAGTTCCAGTATAGCCAGAGCTACACAGAGAAACCCTGTTTTGAAAAACCCAAAACTAAACAAACAAACAAATAAATGAACACACCATGTTTGTCTAGGTAGTAACTATTTCTACTGCCTTCATCCTTTCTGACAATTTGAGTGTCAGTTTGCCCAAAGTTTCTTTTAGTGTGAACAAGACCTTAGCCATTCAAGAAACTTACACTAGCTGGGTGCTGGTGGTGGGGCACGCCTTTAATCCCAGCACTTGGGAGACAGAGGCAAGTAGTTTAAGGCCAGCCTGGTCTTCATAAGTGAGTTCCAAGACAGCCAGGGCTATACATAACAAAACAAAAAGAAACACAATAATGTTTTCCTAAAATTATCCTTATTTGCCCTCATTTTTACTACACGTATTTACTTATTTTGTGAGTGGTAGGCATGGGCAAGTGTGGAGGTCAAAGGACAACTTACAGGCGTGAGTTCTCTGCTTTCACCATGTAGGGCCTGGGGATCACTCTTATGTCACCCGCCTTGGTGACAATGCACTTTTCCCTGCTGAGCCATCCCACCAACCCTATTTGCATTCATTTTTGAAGCGTATTTTCATGAGCTACAAAATTGACAGTTAATTTTTTCAGTATTTTAAAGACATTTTTGTGGCTATGGATGAGAAGTTAGCAGTCATTCATACCACACTGACATCCTTAGCTTATCCTTTGTGTATAATTGCTTGTTTTGCTTTGTGGGCTTTGGCCTTAAAAGGCAAAACAGTTTGACTGTGATGTGCTCAGAAGTGGTTTTCTTCATATTTATTCTACCTCAGACAATTCACTGGTTAGAACTTTTGCCTAGGATGTGAAATTCCATGAATCCAGGCCCTAGTGCCAAAAACGTGTGTCTTCCATCATTGTTAGGAAGCCCTATTGCTCAATTTTTATCTTCATCTCTCCTTTTATTCTAATTACAAGTGTGTTATTTATAGGACTATCATCTGAGCCAAGCTACTGCCATCTTCAGTTCAGCTGGGCCTGATCATAAACTGTCACAGCTGGGACTGTTGACGACTTCTCTCTTAGAAAGAAGGGGAAGAATCATGGGACCTATTCCTGAGTATCCAGCTGCCCCTGCCAACCAGGTGTAAGTAGTTCTTCCTTAATGTATGTGATCTCTAGGACTCTGGGAGGGGCTAGGGGATAGGTTAGGTAGGGATAGGGGAGGAGTCTCCCTCTAGCCACAGCCCACAGCCCTGGGGCGGAGCCATCTATGCTGGGTGCACATTTTCCAGGATGGCTGCTTTAAGATCTCCTATGTGCCTGTGAGTTCTCACATATTGCTCTGTCAGTAACCTGAGTAAGTTCCCTGGTTCTCTCGGGCTGAACATTGGTAGAACTGAATTCCGGGTTGTCATTGGGACCTTGTGTTTGGAAGAATGTTGCCCAGCCCCCCACCCCATCCTTCACATCCCCTTCTGTCTCCCCTCACATCCCTTGCATCCCCTTCCAGATCTTTGAAACTCTTTTCTGCTTGTTTCTTTTGTTTTCATGTTTGTTCTTAGATTAATTTCTATCCATCCATCTTCAGATGCATGGAATTTTCCTCAGTTATCTCCAGTCTAGTATGCCCATTTCATAACTAATATGTTTCAGATATTATAATTTTGTTTTTTGAGACAGGTTTTCTCTGTGTAACAACCCTGGCTGTCCTTGAAATCGCTTTGTAGATCAGGCTGACATAAAACTCACAGAGATCTGCCTGCCTCTGCCTCCTGAGTGCTGGGATTAAAGGCATGAGCCAATGTGCCTGACTGATATTATATTTTTAATGTTATTATGACAATATAATATTTAGTTCTAGAATTTCCATTAATTGTAAAAAATGATTTGTTTTCCCTTTGTGATTCCCTGTCTTTTCACTCATGAAAGTTGGTGGTGGACAAGTGTTCATTATGTAGCCCAGGCTAGACTCAAAATTATAATCCCAATCTCAACCTCCCAAGCACTTGGGAATTGCAAACACATGCCATTGTGCCTAGTGCTCTAGTTTGCTTCTTTGGTATTGTGATAAAACAAACTTAGAGGGAGAAAAGCTTTTATTTCAGCTCATAGGTTACAGTCCATCATCAAGGGAAGCCAATGCAGGATTTCAGTACTGCTTAGTGACTCCCTCATTCTTTGCTAGCTGCCTTTCTTATAGAATCCAGGCCCACCTGGTACCTTCTACAGAGGGCTGGGCTCTCCTACATTAATTAGCAATCAAGAAAATGCCCTGCAGACATGCCTACTGGCTAACCTGATGGAGGCAATTCTCCAATTGAAGGTCACCCTTTGGTGTGTTGAGCTGGACATGATTATCATCACGTCTGACTTCTGAGTTTTCATTCTCAGCAAGCTGGCATCATTTGGGTGCAGGGAAATGTCTTGGTTTGTTTAGAAGAGGCCAGGCCCCTTGGAAAGGGGTCCATTTATGCCCCTCCCAGGTTTTGGCACCACGTGTATAAACTGATGGCATGATATAATTAAGGAGGCAGTTTTTAATATAGATATGAGAGAAGGAACAGTCAGAGGCATCTGGAAGAGTCCAGAACAAAGAGTAAGTAGTCGAATGAATATGGCCAGTAGACTGGACCTGGTCATAAGAGAAGCAGGAATATAGAGAGGGAGAGTATGGGAGAGAGAGGAGGGAAGAGGGAGTGTGGCCAGGGTCTCACACATGCTAGGCAAGCCCTCTATCATGAGCAACACCCCAAGCCCCAACTGTTATTTTAAAAGAACCCTGATGCCCACTCCCAGGGATACTGTAAATATAAAGAAGTACTCTCAGTGCCTCAACTCCTCATTTCATTATGAAAATTGCCACGGAAATACTTATTCCAGAGGAAAAGGTTCTGGGTCAGGGTCATCTATCCTCAAGTTCCCTTTGGGAACTTGGCACTGAACCTAGTGAGTCCATCAGGTTGCCTCATAAGCAGCCTACCTGCATGAAATAAACCAATGGATAAATAACAGAAGTGTCTGGAGAGGAGCCTAAGGGGGTCTGCCTCACTCCCTAGCCTTCAGAACTGTCTTCTGGATGTTTCTCTGACTTAAAGGAGTCTGTCTGTCTCTCTTTCATCTCCCTCATGTCTCTTGCACCCCATTGGGGGATGCGAAAATGTAGTAGCCATTGTTTTCCTTGGTCCTTCTGTCCTCTGATCAGGACCAAATGCTAAACTCAACATGGCTTCAAGCAGAATTGACTTGTGATTGTCAGGGCTTAATCATGGAACAGCCTCTGATACCATTAAACCTGAAAATTTGTCACTCCTGACAAGCAACCACTCAGTAATCACTTTCCCTGCCCTCTTCCTAGAAGCAGGTGGGCCGACAGGAAGAGACAGAGTTGAATGGCAGGAAAAAACAAGTTACTGCCCAGCTCTTCAGTGACCTGTGTCTTGCCCTCAAGGTCTTTGATTCATGTTTTCCAAAGGGAAATTCCCACCTCTGTTTGATTACAGTGAAACATATTTACCTAAGTGGTGTAAGGCAGTTCTTTCTGGAACCACCCGCACAGTAAGGCTCAACCCACCAGGCCCTGAATGGAGAGACTTATGCCACTTGTAAGGTAACTCCTGACATTCAGCAGGAGAAAGACAGGGGTAGGCGCTGTGTTTCCCCTCCCTTGTGTGATCATAAGTTTGTTGCCTTTGCTCCTGGAGTTGGGAGAGTATCTCTCAAGCCTTGTGGGGACGGCATGGAGATGGAAGGTACCACCCATGGCTTGGAAGGGTGTGGAATCCAGTGTGGAATCTGCTAGTGGTCACAGAGGCCCTGTCCCTACACTCACCCCAGCCTTCTGGGGGCACTCTACCTTTCTTGGTCAAGTGTTAGAGGACAGAAAGAGCCATGGCTTCCACAGGGACAGCGCTTGACAGTTCAAGAGGCACCTTGACACACATGCTCTTTGGTAGATCCTGATTGAAATGGTAAAGCTGAAGAAACTGAGGTTCCAGGAGGCTAAGAAAGTTGCACTGGGTCATATACCTAATGACCAGAACCAGGTCCAGTCCCAGCCATGGGGAGTAGTGAGAGACAGCAAATGCCACTTCCTGCAACTTGGTGCTGTCACCAGGCTGCTTCTCATGCTCTAGAATAAACCACTGTGACCTTCTCTTCTCTTTCATGCCTGTATCTGACACAAGGTATCAGAACAGAGGTCACTGCCTGGGAACTTTCCTCCCCCATCATACTTCAGCCTGTCTTGTGCTTGTATCTTGTTTTCACCCAGCACCTTCATCTCAGTATCTACCCCTCTGAGTGTGTGCTGGCTGCCTCCCAGGCCCCGGTCTCTCAAGGACTTTACACCTGATCCTGATCCTATGCCCCACAAGAGCAACTCTTTCAGCAAACAAACATGCTGTCTCCAACCAGAAAAGCAGAATTCCTGGCTGAACTTCTCACCTCTTCCAGGGACTGTCCCATGTCCATCCTTCCCTCACAACATCAGAGTCATCTTCACTAACTGTCTACTTTCTTGCCCTTGTGTCTGTAATCTGCCTTCTGACCTCACTACACCACTGACACTGCTTGTTAGGGTGGTGGCCTCAGCCTCCAGACCACTTCTGTATCCTCTCCACTTTCTCCTCAAACAGCCCCACCCAGTTCTATACTTTGAAAATACCATCCACAAGCCAAGTCTCATAGTACCTTAATCTCAGCTACTTGGAGAGCTGTGGAAAAAGAATTACAAGTTAAGGCCAGCCTAGGAAACCTAGTGAGATCCTATGTCAAAGAAAAAAAGGAGAGGTCTGGCACAGTGGTAAAGTACTTGCCTAGCATGTGCAAGGTCCTAAGTTCAAGCCCCAATGCTGGGAGGAAAAATCATTCAGACATGTGTTCCTAAATTTATACTTTTAGCCCTAACTACACCAAGGTCAAGGTTCACATATCTGATATTATCACATATTTTTGTTACTCTGATCTTAACATGTCCAAACTAGTAGTGCTGTCCTTACTTTGACATGTGTCAAGAATTCAGGACCCCAGGCTCTGATCCACTCAATCAAACCTTGAACTTGAACAAGATTCCCAAATGGTAGCCATACAAGATTTTGACAGGTTTGATTTGGTCTCTGTCTTCCAGTCACTCTTCTCTTGTTAACTACTTTCATCCCACATTGGCCTTCTGTTCCTCGTGTCAAGCACACGCCACCTTAGGGCCCTTTCAAGAGCTTATTTTTTCCTGGAGCATCCTTTTTTCTTCCATATTTAATGTCACCTCCTCAGAGTGCTGTTCCTTGATCATCCTACTGAAAGTCGTTCTCCACCTGTCCCCAACCTCTCCCCACTAGTCATTCAGTTACATTTCCTTGCTCCGCTTGTCTCTGTTGCTATATTATTTCTTCACTTACCAACTACCTTCCTCCCCTGCCTGGTGAGGGGAGATGGAAGAAGATAGGCCTTGTCTCTCTAGCACTCTCATTACCAAAGGTCTAGAAAAGGTCCACCCAGCGAAGTGTAGTGCCTCATGCCTGGGAAGGCTTGAGGCAGAAGGCTCATGAGTTCAAGGCTAGGATGAGCCACATAGCAGGACCCTACCTAAAAATGGGATAGATGATAGAGACAAGAAAATATCAGCCCAGTGAACTTTATAAATGTTTGGCAGCAAATATCTCACTCTCTTCCTCCTCTTCCCTCGTACCCCCGCCCCTTACCCCTCCCATAGTCTCCATTCTTATTACACACTCTGGCCCAAGGACAGAATTCTCCAAGCCTGTAGGAATAGCTCTGCCTGTCACCAGTCAGGAAGTGTTTTTCAGCACACAGCCTATTAACAACTGGAGGATGCCTGACTAATCCCAAGAAATAATCACACTTAATTGCTGGTATTTATATAACACTTATTGTTTGCCAGGTACTGTTCTAGGTACTTTACCCATGGTGAATAAGCTCACTTATTCCTCTGTTCCTCCTGACTCTAATTATCTCAATTTTACACATGAAGAAAGCAAGACACAGACAGATCAATTAACAAGCTCAGTTTCATAATAAGGAACTTGTGGCATCAACATCTTTAGACCCACACTGAGAGGCCCCTAGAACAGGCCCCAAGCTTCAGAAGACCCAGCTCTCCTCAGATGGCCCCTCCCCTCAGGATCAAGG